AAAAATCGAAGATGTGTATCACCCATGTAGAACTTAGGTATGGCAAAATATAGTGGCCGAAATGAGTCCAGGGGTCACATGACTCCACTTGTTGTATTTTTGCCAGTTACTTGAAATTGCGTAGTGTCTGGTAGGTTTTACTTCTGTCGATTCATTGAGTCAAGGTGTTTTGTCGACTTTACTGATAAAGACCAGTGATGGATGGTCGATTCTCGATCAATCAGCACCCAATTACATCCCAATAATCTGTCTTCAGGAACCAAAGAACCTCACGTCGCAGTGCATGAAACAGGGTGTTCTTGATCAGATCTCACAAACTAGTAGGCGCCTTTCGATAGGCGTTTTAAACAAATAAAGAAAGTGTGTATATTTGAGTGCTCACTAACTAATGATTCATATGTGCTGCCTGGAACTGCCTGGAACCAAGTGGAAAATTGTGCTTCCCTACTTTTGAAAATAGTAGGATGAGCATGTACTACTGAGACAAGCATCAGTAGCGTGAAATATCAGTCTTGCTCGGTGACTCCCCAACTCGCTTCTCTTGAATAGCCCAATTTATGCCTAATTTGAAAGACACTTAGACTGTTCTTTTGATTCCGATGTCTGAATGCTCTGATTTCGTCACCAATCCGAAAGTAGAGTGGCAGGAGGGAACTATCCAAAGCTCAGTTGGATACCACTAAGTTCATTGGTGTAAACCCAAACCCTCTGACTGTGACTACCTGATGAGCTCCAAGAAGAGCGAAACCGGTCGTGGGCTGTCGAATAATTTTCAGCAACCTTATGAGTAGTGCATCACGAAGCACACTTATGTTTGAAAGTGCTAGCTGAATAGTTTGACGTTGACCATATATAGCAAGCCTACAACGCAAGGTTGCCATTCATCTCGGAAGATTTCTGGGTTGTGGTGGATAACATGCAGTACTCCCTCTGTAAAAAAACCACTGTCCGAGACTGTTTTAACCGCCTTTGGGCGAGGTAGATCTTTTCATGTGAAGGGACAACCGAGGGCAATCACGGTGCCCATCGGCTGCACAATGACCTTAGCTGCAGAACCTTCGCGAGTGAAATAAAACTTTCTGCGCCAAAATATTGCATTTTGTTGCGTCTGTGCTCAAACCAAAATCCATCCCAGTCTACGTTCATATCTTTTCAGCTCGCCGAATTTCATTGTCCACTTGAGCAATCATACCTCTGACAGAAAAAGTCTGGTGGAATACCTTCCTGGCATCGCTGACAACCAGGGATGCCTAGATGGGGCTCAAAAGTATGGACTCATACTCTGAACTCAATTGGCTGTCTCTTCTAGTCCAACAGGACACATCGTAGCTTTTGAAAATTCAGTTCCATTGTGCGAATACTGAGCGCCGACTATCACCCTTGTGAGGAAAAGTAGCAGGAAGCCCGCCACGATGAACCCTGTCTCATCCACAGTGGTCGGATTCATGCATGTGTATAAAAAGAGGATAGTGAAGAGGCCGACATTCAATACAGCACAATACGATCCGAGGAACGATGTAGGGCAAATTATGCAGTCCTACAAAAACATAGTTCTTACCTTTGATGGCTTACTGGCTAACCTAATACGTCGTCTCCTAGCAAAACTGAATACTAGTGAAGAAGCACTGAAACCGATTGCTGTTGCGGAAGCCATCATGTTGGCCTGGCCGCACCAGACACACGGAGATGTAGTGCGTGGGTAGCGAGAAGATTTTGAAGTTTCAAAGAAAACTGCATCGTGCAACTAAGGCCCAACCATGATAATCTTGGAAACACTTTACAACTATTTGGTACGTGTTGGTGGCTACTATCGAAACCTCGAATTTCCCGGGCGATTCGAACTGGTTACTGGGTCACACACCATTCTGCTACGGATCTCTGACCAGCTACGTGGTTGCCTGGAAACTCGACAACATACAGAGCGTCTGTCCTTCAAACGAACTTGATGGCATTGTTGACGACTTCGCCTTGGGAGAGGCAATACGAGATACTGGTTTCTCCTACATTGTTCACTCATGATTTTTAGGCAGTGGAACTATCCCAGAGTTTCAACAGGAATTATACTCCCAAGGTGAAGTCAATCGATGCTACTGACCGGCTAGCCATGGCGAAATCGTCCGAGGTCCACGAGGGGCGTCCTGCTGACGATTATGTACAAAGATGAAAAAGTTTTAATGTGCTTCTAGGTATTCCAACATCAGATGATCTAGCGTGTTGTGTCGAGTTTCATCTGGAAATTCCGGTATCATGTATTGTTAGGGGAAACCTCGGAGCAACGGAGATCCCTGATTACTCCAACTGCCTGTTCTCGGAAGAAGGCTTAAAAGATTAAAGGGCCTATTAGCAGTGCACTCTAATAGGAGAACCAACTCTGTAGGTAACCGGACTACACAACTGTCAGTGGAATAACCATTTCCGTCGAGACAGATTTCATTGGTTGTCCTTCACTTACCCTTGACAGATGAGTTATATTTTTAGCACCACTTTTTGGCCACTTGGGTTTCTGACTTGGTCAAGCAAACCGGGCGATCAAGCGGCTATCCAGACCGGGGTTCACGATAATAAGAAGGCATTAAGGGACTGTGGTCCACAGCAAGTTGGCGACGGAACAATTGAAAATCAAACTCCACAATGCCACTTTCACATTAAAAACTGATTTTGATTTCGCAACAGCAGGCAAAATTTCGAGAGTCTCAGTTGAGGTTGGTCGAAGCAATCCTTCACAAATTGGAAATTCGAAGCCCAGCTACAACTGAAACGAAGAAGTCTTCTGTTGACGCTGTTGCGAACAGTAAAGTTGAGTTTCACTAAAATGCAGAATCCAATTCCACTTTCGAATCATGGTTCCGAAGATACGAAGACGTTTTCGGACGAAGTTTACACAGTTGAATGACAAATTGATTAATTTTATTCCCCCGAAATCTCTGAAGGAATTTTCTTCTGATTAACTTGTATAACTTTTCAATGATATTTTTTTCGAATCGCCTTCTTTACTGGACGTTCTCCACAAGAGTTTGGAGCTGGTCAAATCGAATAGGGATGACTATCTTACGTATGCAAGCGTAGTGAACCCTCAGTGTAAAAGATGCAAGCCCAAAGAAATGACAGGATCAATTTAAATGTCTCATCTTTATCTGTGGGCTACAGTCACCACGAGATTGCTAAGCGAGATTGAGCACGATCCACTAATGAGCTCCCAAACGGTTACCACAGGGTGTTAACGCTTGTTTTATCTAAAGCACGATACAACGCAATAATCTATCTCAGTCCCGCCATGTGCACACCGTTTCGAACATTATTCAAAGGTCAGGTGCGAAGAAGCCGTCGGTGGAGTTCAGTAAGCCACCTACGCCCTTCTGGCAGCGCCATGAATGGCACTTGGTCCGCTTCTGCCCTTTCAAGAAGCACCAGTGTCAGAAGTGCCACAAAAAAGGGACACAAAGAAGAGTGTTGCCGCACAACCTTCTCTCAACAAGGCAATAAACCGTTCAAGCGAACAGTGCGTCGTTTAAAGCCACACACCAAACCAGTACTGGTCACTTTCAACCCGGAATGGAAATGTCAGAGGAAATCTGTGTCAGTTGTCCTAAATGACACACTCGTATGTGTGCAACTCGATACCGCCTCCGACATCACAATCATCCCAAAAGATACCTGGAAAATGATGGGTAGACCCCCTTTCTACCCCACAAATCGTGTTTCTCCAAACGCTTCTGGTGGAAAACTACAGTTGACCGGTGTGCTCTCATGTTCTGTGCTGTGCAACAATATTCTTTTCACTTCTTTATTCACGACCGAGAGGTTGAATGCGTTGCCTGTGAACATTTTCATAGAACATTTGGATATGGACAGAGGAAGGACAGCAGACACCTAGGTGGAGGAGCAGCTAAGTGAAGTGCCTGTGTATAAAAAATCACGAAGGACGACACACAGACCGACGTCGGTGACAATGATTCAAGTTAATCCGAGACAGGAGACTTAAACTAGTCAAATTCAAAGGGGAGATATCAGGAAAACCAGCCCCGAAGGCAACTGGACACAACTGCCAATGGGATAACCGTTGCCGTCGAGGTAGATCTGATTGGTTGTTCCTCATTTGCCCTTGACAGATGAGTTCTAGAACTTTCCACGTGAGCTTCATAAACAGCCCGTTTTCGGACTGTACGCATCAATCTTCAATAGATCAGCTGATTCGCATGTTCATTGGCGTTTTGGTTTGGCTAGGGGAATCAGGCTATCAAGCACCAAGTATTCATTAGGGCTTCAGGTGATCTATGTTCTCTGTGGATTTTGGGAGTTCTGAGTCCAATACGTCAGATCCGTTCAATGGTATGATTTACTCAGCTGTTTCACGCCGAATGGTAAGCGCAATAGACGGAAGTCTATCCACTCAAGAGTTTCTTCGCTGCTCATATCGTGGGCTACGAAAGCTGGGTCTGAAGCACAGGAATCGGATAAACGGATCAAGTGTGTTTTCAAGTAAACCACCAGCGAATTCAAGCCCATCAACATGAGAGAAGGCAGATTTCTCCATCCACTCGACAATATCCCAAGCGACGAGTATTCTACAACCTCCGTCCTGTTAGCAATTCCTTTTTAAACGGAGAGGCGTATACGGACGTTCTAGTCACAGAGACTGAGAATCCTCGATTTCTAAACGCCCACAAACGGTATGAGTAGATTCGGTTTCAGATGCTGGATGAATAAATCAGCTTTGAAGAGACTTGGTGCTGCTCAAGAGCGAATATGTACGAGGTCACTCATGGCCACTATCCCCCCAAGAAGTCGCGAACTCTACGATTAGCCTAACTAATGGGACATGTAGCGTACATACTGATAGGACACGTTTTCTGATCCTGAATGAAGGGATCGTAAGTGACGAAGAGGATTCAGTAAGTGCTTTTGATAGCCTCGTACAGGTCCCATTCAAGAGTGGCACCCAAAAATCTTGAACCCAAGTGAAAAGTCGGATGGTCAAAATGGTAAGTTGTATTGTACAGCAGAAAACAAGCTCAAGCTGGAATATTGAATCGGTTTGGCGAAACATTTCATTGAATCCACACACACACACACACACACACACACACACGAGAACTGCGCAAAACAAATGGACGGCAAATCACGAACGTCATCATGAAGCGAGGGCAATCAAAAAATGGAGCTCACGAAGGGAGAAAAGAGACCTGGTTTGAACACAGCCGATGATTGTGATACGGATAGGGAAGTAAGATAGTGTGCATATGCGAGTGCAAAAGAGATTCCAACGTAATCAGATTGATCAACCGATATTTTGGCGTTTTTATGGGGCAGGAACGGGTTACCGGGTGGTCGACCCCAAAACACGTTCGGCGTTGTTCGCCCGGACAAGTTGCATAATTATCACATAAGATTAAGTTGCTATACGCAGACATGGTTACAGATGATTGATGCTCAGTGTTAGCGAGGTAAACATGGGGCCAATTCATGAAAATCACGCGGGAGTTTATTTGTGCATTGACAATCCGAATGCACTGCTGTGTGATAAGCAACGCTACTCGCCGAAAGCGTCCGGTGAGGAAGTCGTGATTGACTGCGCCGATGGTACGTTTGCGGATAGTTTTGAAAGACCTCCACAGGTTCCTGGCTGCACATCTTTAAGCCGATCCAGGGTGGACTTAATCAGATCAATATGTGTCTGAGGAGGGAGAGAACAAACACGGTTCAGGTGAACTAATAAAAAAGCGATGAAAAGCTGATGAAGATAACACTATGATAACACTAAGATAAAACTATGAAATCCCAACAGCCGGGAGCTCCAAATATGAGGAGGGACAAACACGGTTCAGGTGAACTAATAAAAAAGCGATGAAAAGCTGATGAAGATAACACTATGATAACACTAAGATAAAACTAAACTATTCCAGCAGCCGGGAGCTCCAAATATTGCACCATCAGAGCGGAGAGCGTTGAACACACTGAGACAGGTAGGTAGTATTGTCATTACGACGGCCGATAAGGGTAAAGCCACAGTAGTGATGAATAAGAGCGACTATCTTCAAAAGGTCAGGCAACACCTCGCCGATGGACCCTACCGACAAACTACCGGTAGCAGTATTACTTCAATAATGAATAAGAGTAAGGTTGAAGTTGGGAGATATTTAAGATGCGTAATAAACCATTTGGGGCAATGTAAGTGGTATCGGTTGTATCCAAAAAGTGCGATTCAACCGCGACTCTACGGACTGCCAAAAATCCACAAGGCAGATGTACCGATAAGGCCAATAGTGGATGGTATAGGCGCGCCGCCGCATGAACTGGCCAGATTCTTAGCTAGTATACTAAAACCGCTCACGGGGAAATCAAGCACCTTCATTAGGCATTCGTATGACTTTGCCAACAAGGTCGCAGGGCTTCCTTTGGAGATGGACGAAGTCCTCGTGAGTTTTGACGTAATATAAATGTACACAAACACCCCTAGGGCAGATGCTCTGGAGGTAACTAAGAGGTTGTTACTGACAGACACAACACTCGGGGAACGGACACAGCTCTCGGTGGATGAAATAGTTGAGGGCATAAGAGTGTGTTTGAATCTTGATAAGTTTGTTTTTGACACAACTGTTTACTCACAAGAACAAGGCCTTGCAATGGGATCTCCAATATCCCCAGTTTTAGCCAGTATTTACATGCAGGACTTCGAACAAATAGCTTTGGCCGGATATCATTGTCCACCCAAAGTTTTTGGCGTTATGTTGACGACACGTTTGTTGTGATCAAACGAGACAACGTAAACAGCTTCCACGACTATCTCAATAGTTTAAACCCACACATTAAGTTTAGCATGGAGATAGAGTCCACATCGGGCACATTACCCTTTCTGGACTGTATAACACATAAGGTTGGTGGGAAATTGAAAACGACTGTCTACCAGAAACCAACAGACACGGGAACCGTCTTAAGCTATTCATCAGCACACCCAAAGTCCGTGTACGCCAGCATTGTCTCATCGATGTTTCGTCGAGTTAGAGCGCTGTGCACAGAAGAGATCGACCGGACGGCAGCTCAAATCGAGATTGCCAACAAACTTCAAGAAATAGGATACCCAGTGAGTTTGATTAGGCGACAACTAAGGAAGATATTGGTTCCAGTATCTAGACCCAGTAAAGAATGGATTGGCACAGCAGTCATTCCATATAAAGCAGGAACATCGGAGGTTATTCGAAGATTGTTGAACTTAGCCAACATTAGAGTAGCTTTTCAGAAGGGAAAAACGCTACGCTCAGTTTTGGTGCAATTGAAAGATCCCCTGCCGGCTGAAAGGACTAGGGACTGTGTGTACAAAATTAACTGCAACGATTGTGCTAAGGTTTATATAGGACAAACTGCCAGGGAATTGCACACCAGAATTGGTGAGCATAAAAGAAGGATTAACAAGCCACCAAGGAATGCAGAAGAATACCAAACGCTGGTCAAAGACTCAGCGATGGCGGTACATGCCTTAGACACGGGACATAGAATAGATCTGGAGAATGTGGAAGTCTTAAGACGGGGACTGCGATTCACACCACAACGGCTGATAGCCGAGGCGGTGGAAATCACTAAGCATCACAGCGTGAATAGAATCGAGGGTGTGGAGCTAGCGAGCGTATGGAAAGCGGTCTTAGATAAGCCGAGTTGACACGTGACGGTGTGGTTGTCAATCCACTTAGGATCATTAGAAAAAACCGGGGGGTAGGGGTGGAAACCCCAACCGACCAAAGGTCACAGCATCCCTCCTACACAACTTTCTTAGCACTAGCTCACCCACACAGACTAACAGAAGGTTCAAACGAAGTTCAAGAGGAACCATCAAATGAACCGAACCAGAAGAACTAGACCCTAGGCAGGACCCAAACACATGTAGGTTTCCCCACCGACCCAACACTTGTTCAACCACTCTAACACACTAAAATCCCTCGGCCGACACCCAGCAGAGATTGAGCTTGGTTTAGTAAATTGGTTCTCCTTCCGCCTTAAATCTCGACCAACCTCGGAACCTAGTCACTTGGCCTGACGAAGCTTTTGCGTCAAAAGCGAAACGTTGCCCAGCAATAAACCTACCGATTGTCACCAAACTTTTTCGAAAACTATCATGAGTTCATCGACACCACAAAACCTGCTTAGTGAACTTGTATAAAAAAGATGTGGAGCGCGAGCCACCTGTATCAATGCAGGGAAGAGTCAGTCAGACAGATCAAGCGGTGAAGACGCGCAGATAAGCACGAGCATTCGGTAGTCGTGAAAACCGATCTGGGTGGTTTTGAAGAACGCATTTGGTGACCTGGGGAAGACAACTTCAGATGCACAAGAGAAGTCCTGCGGAGCCAAGCTGCGCACCAGAGACCCTAAAAAATAGCTTGGACAAATAGCAAAGGTAGGTAAAACCGGAGTTGAAGAAGCTGATGAAAATCAGAGTAAGCTAAGTTTCGTATTCCGACGGTTTATCAGATGAAGAGTGTACGACATCTGATTCGTGACGTATTTCAACTTCTCATGTATGGCATAGTTTCAGTATTTTGCAACCAAACGCAAGAAACAAAAAAATGCACCACGGCATACAGATGGAAGTGAGTGCCACATTCTCACGAGGATTTGAAAACACATGTAGTTGACAGGCTACCTCGCTGAAGGTTGCCTTTGACCAAATAAAACCGGATAGCTTGTTGAAATACGGGCTTTGACGGGCTTCCAACAATTATGCCAACCCCAGTTAGTGTTTAGGCCTGAAAAGTGCCATATGGTAGTGAGATGCGTAACGGAAAATTTGTAAACCTGGTGCTATTAAAATTCGCAACGATGGATCAGGGAACAGGTGGTTGGTAGAATACGAGGCCCTTTATTTACGGAAATCATAGAGTTCTGGCACCTAGTCATGCTCTACGCATGCCAAGTTATCAACTGGTGAGAAGAACAATTTCTTCTGTATCAAACCCGAGTGGTGCAAACCGAGATTTGACCACAGTATCACGTACGACAGGTTACGAGTGACTTCCACAATGAGTTTCACGTGATCAGTCTTGTGACTGGGTAGAGATGTAGCAAGCTGTGGCCGCTAGTCGATGTTGATGGCATTTGTGTTGCCAATCTCTACCCACATTGCCTGAATGTAAGTTTTGCGGTGGGTTAGCACCGTGTCCTTTTCCTTTCTCTTACCCCCCTCATTAAGTAAGTGTTTTCACACTGGTATTGCTGTCATTGAAGATGACGGGGTGGGTAAAAAGCGTACACACAGACCCCATGACTGGTGGTATGGTCAGGGTCGGGAAACCTAGAAAGCTTGGTCAGCTTTTTCCTTGAGAGCCTTAAACAAGCGCCCCCTCACCTAAAGCGCTTTTCGTTCAATAATTTATGCTTCCAGGTTGCCTTATGTGAACAGCCATTCAAAGAAAACGAAACCGTCCAGCTGTAATACCCTTTCGGTGCCCAGCTGCCATGCTGCTCGAAGGAAGCATACTGCCAGGTTGCCCAAGCCTAGACAGGGGAAGTCGAGAGGCAGAGGTCGGGTTCGAATCACGGTGGCTAACTGTCATACCACCCGAAGGTTGCACGAAGGCTAGGGTAGTGTCCAGTTGCCCGAGGATAAACAGGGAAAATCGAGAGGCTAACTGCCATACCACCCGAAAGTTGCACGAAGGCTAGGATAGTGTCCAGCTGCCCGAGGATAAACAGGGAAAATCGAGAGACAGAGATCGGGTTCGGACAACAGATCTTCCGGTCAGTAAATTCACACCCAAACCACTTGGGCCATCTAGTACATCATATATAGCCAATGAGTTGCTCTCCATAGCAAACAAACAGCTGGAGAACCAGATGATCGTGGACTCGTTTCGACGACAGCTAGAAAAAATACGAGGAGAATCCGCCAATAGGAGTTTCATGTTTGATAATAAAGGTAGCTTCACATTCTGGGGGTATCCAGTCGTGATACAGATAGTGATCGAAAAATTAACACAGTAAATGGTTGACGTTAGAAATGTATACATCATTGGTTTATAGTATAGAGGCATACGTAAGAAGTCGACTTACTTTGGCGTGCTTCATTTCCAATTCGGCCAGCTCAATAAGGTTCTTTTGAAAGTACTTGATCCGGCGAACTTTAAAATCCTCGAGTTCTAAAAACGCGGTAAAGGGATACGAGTGATTAGAAGACAATAAATTGCGTGGCGCCGATCTGATACAAACACCGATGGATAGGAACGGTCACTACATTAAACAAGTATGGGACGGATTTCTGTCCGACGCCTGGAGTGAATAAATTGCGCCGATCTGATACAAACACCGATGGATAGGAACGGTCACTACATTAAACAAGTATGGGACGGATTTCTGTCCGACGCCTGGAGTGTTTGGGCGGTCAATATCCTAACATGACGCGATTATCCTGATTCAATCTGAATCAGAGCAAATAAGTTAATATCGAACAAGCCTCGGTCAACGCCAAAGCGTGGTTTTTTGTTCACTCGATTTAAGTGCGTCCAGCGTGCTAACAAGCTAGCTCAAATAACACGTATACACTACTGATAAAGACAAAACTTCAGTCCTGCGCCAAGTGGGAATCAAAGTCACAAGGTGGGGTACCTCAAACAAACTCCTTCTTAGGTCCGGTCAGCCGGTAAATAACATTTGTAGCGTGGGCAAAACAAGCGATTCCCTTCAGTCATCAGTTCCTGGTTCTGACTGTTTCACACTATAAATTATGCCACCATACCTAACCCAATACTTGTGGAAGCAAAAACTGGACATTAGCTTCTAAATCCAAGGAATTTCGTCAAAGTAGCGGCAAGTACTCTACGCCGTACTCTACGGCAAGTAGGTCGACCGACAGACCTCTCTTGTTTATACGCGCTTTTCACTGAATACTGATGTACACCGTCTGGCAAACAGCTCCGCTACCAAAATAACTCTTACCACAACTTAGACCAAACCATGCTTTCCCAGGTTTTTGTTTTCCGGGGTTCTTGTGGTCCCAGTAGTGTGCGAAGTGTGTCCAGTATGAGCCGAAAACGTTCCGCTTGATCGAATGTCAATGACCAGCTCAGACTAACCGGGTTCTGTCAGAATCTGCAGTCATATCACTTTCATCTGTTTGGTTTAAATATTGTTATGAGTTCATGCCACAGCAAGGAATCAATGGACCGGAATCGCACTCTTATCAGTGGGCTACTCAATAGCTCTAGTCGAACAGCAAGAAGAAATTCGAATAGAAGATTGGATCGCAGGAAAAAGTGGTCGACAAAGAGATTGAAGAATTTGGAAAGGTAGCGGAATTGGGAAATTGCCGGAGTTTATTCCAAAATTGCCAAAAACATTGGACCAAAAACTGCAAGTCATTTAAATCATCCACAATCCACACGAAGTCTCGTCGTTCAGCCTTTTGACTTCGTGAATCCCAATTGATAACAGGGGTCAAAAACTGGTCCAGTGGAACATGTGTTACTCGGGTCAAATTTAGTCAAAAAGAGGAACAAACAACCTAGATATTGTCCCTACACATTTCGGAACGCGCTATGCAGCAAGTGGTTAGAGCGCGAATTGACTCACTGGAAGGTGCGTGGTTCGAACCCAATCTCTACCTCTGGACTTTCCCTGTCTAGGCTTGGGCAACATGGCTGTATCCCTGGCCTCGTGCTTCCTTCTGGTAGCATGGCAGCTAGGCACCGAAAGGGTGTTATAGCTGAACTATTTTAAATATTTTCTTCTAGTTGACCGTTGAGAATATGCTGCAGAGGCATTGCGAATCTAGCCTACAAAAGCCAGCAGCATTTCCCCTATTCAAGAAAAACGCAATAATAACACGCAACTTGTCATGAGGGATGACCGAAATTACCCTTTGTCGGACACTGGCAAAACAGACAAACAATTTAGAAACATGGGAATGAAAATGTAAAGACTTCTGCAGGTTTGTACGGACCATGCGAGTCCAGGGGATACTTTCGGAGACCGTATTTCCATGGAAATCTTATCGTACCATTCAGGGGAACACTAGTACACATAATAACCTAGTTTTATCCATGGGGTAGAAAAATCAAGAAAAATTATTTAGTCCGAATATGACATGCACAATCCAGTGCACTTAACAAACATGAATGCAAAGGATTGCAGGACTAGCCCCTTCTGTCTCATACGGGCTAATTCATTTTCACATTGTGAATGGGCTACTTACAAAAATAAGTAGTATATTGAAAATGGCTCAGCTGAGAGCCTGTCGGAAAAAACGTCGCGTTGCCTTAGTAACTTTTGTTCAGGGCGGTTAAGAGCAGGCATCAGGTTTCCCATAACCTGTTCTAGAAAAACGACATGTTGAGAAAATTATCCATACGGAACGTGTCACAAGTGGACAATTTCGTAGTGGACAGTGGAAGAAAAACGCCGTTAAAACCTTATGTACGCTTGAGAAAGGCCTACAGAATGCGACAATCAAAACCTGTATTGGCAATAGAAAGAAATCTTTAGGCTTAAGGTCAATCTACGATTTTGCGCATCAAGCGTTCTAGCGTGTGAAACATCTCGTTCGAATACACTGCATTACTCTACTGATACGTATAGTAAATCCCAGAAACTAGGAGTCAGCTCCTGCCCTCATGAAGTCCAATGTAATGTTTCTTGTGCCACGGGTAACAGACAAAAGATCCTGCAGAGTTGAGAGGCAAACTCGTGCTTTTAACACTACTGCTGTTTGAAAGCTGAACTAGACAAGTGAAACAATAAAACAGGCTGGAAATAAGAATAAAGCCGTCACGTGAACACCGTTTAGGAGAGAAGCTTACCGAGCCTAGCTGACTCGGAAATGGCCTTGAAACGATTGTTGGCTGCGAATTGAGCATCTTCGGCTGCTTGAATATCTTTCATTTTTGCCCGAGCTTTGTCCAGCGCCCGATTAGCTGCCTCGTAGTCTGCAAGAGCTCGACTTCGTCGATAAAGCAAATCTTTTGCAGCCCCTGCATCGCTTGCATAGTAGCGAAGGGTATCCGAGAATTTCAAATCCTCATCAGACGCCAAGCGTACTTGGGTTTTCTGGTAAAATATATACGTAGAAAGGTCAGATTTACACAACTTGCGTCCGTAATTTTCAAAAGGGTATGCGCGCTGTTCAGAATGAACGTACCTGATAGTTTTCGAAAAAGCTGCTCAACACCGAGACAAGGCTGGAACAAAGAACATGTGGAACGTTAGGGAAAACAGTACGGTGAGGACCAGCGAAAGGCTGCATCCATTAGTAGAATGCATTGAATGCTGAAAGAACTGGAAGTGAGCCTTTTCACACTACTGAAGCTCCCACCTACACCCCGATTAACCAAAATTAATAAAACGTGACCCCGACCAACCGAACGGTCTAGACAGAGGAGCAGTATAAGCAAGAGAGATCCGGGTGAGTTTCAACTTAGTCTTCGATAAATTAGTGCAATCTGGTATTCAGGTAACCAATGAGATTGGCGGAAAAGCAGAGAGCAGTTCTAGCTGATGACTGACTAAAATCTCCGCCGGAACTATGAATGGTATTGAAAGTACGGCAAGGCATTCAAGTTTCGGGCCGAATTTATCGAGCTACCTTAAATCAGGTACAGCATATATTCATAAGTCTACAACAACAACATCAACAGTAACGATAACCGAACATTGATTCGTTATGACGCAGGTACTCCTGAGAGGAAAGCTGTAAATGTCAACTCCTCACAACCTGGGTAGTGTAAGTTAGGATCACTTAAAGCGATTCAATATCAAAAAGCTAGCCCCGTTAGGTGTCTCCAATACAAGGAAGTATAAAGTTCTATGGGACCTATCGTAACGTGTGTGTGTGTGTGTAGAAAAGGATGGAGTAAACTGAAACGGGAACTGGAGCAGTGTCTTTTTGATAAAGCCAGAAGGATGAGACCTTATTAAATGGAGTGGAATTTTCAGAATTTACAAGTACCTATTATGAGCTGTCGATTGGTCAAGCAGTAAGTGAAAGACGAGCTTCTCACTATGGGAGTGCATTGAACAGGCAGATTAACTGAGGAATCACAGCGCTAACTGACTAGATTTCCAAAAAATCTAGGAAAGAAATTACTCAATCGCAGAGGCATTCGTACTTGGTAAGACATTTTTTTCATGTTATGACGTTCGGGCACTCTGTGTGGGGTGTATTGATGACAATTCTTAGGTCAATTCGGAGGCGCATTTAAGTATCTCAGATTAAATCTAAACCCTCCGATTGTGTCCATTTAAATGTGAAGTTGAGTGGGCCTTGAATTTTTATTTGAACATTTTAAAAAGTACATCGAGACGGCGCGCAGAAATACTGGGATTAAAACATATTCTACTACATGTGCTGAGCGTGCCATGACTAACTTTCTAACAAAAAACTGGGGATCCAGTAGTGTACGACTGCGTACTTCAGTTGAATTAAAGTGACAGCAACTGGTCGCCTATTTTCAAATCACCACCAAATTTGTCTACCAAACCGGTCATAGTTCCTCGCCTGTTAAGCCAGTACGAATCAACTCAACAGTCGAATGAGCGCCGAGTCACAGGTCATGCATTCAAACATAGTTTCGGGAAGGACTTTTTGGTGAATCGCATTCATCTCGGTCACCGCCCCAGAATGATATCTGACTGTTCAAAGTAACTTCAAATTCAACGGAACCCAAGAGTTCACATAAGTTCAAACAAGGAACGTGGCGGTGACAAACTCACTCCGCTTCCGGTGTGCACATCCGCTCTTTTGGGACCAAATTGTCCAGGGACAAGGTGACTCGCAGCAGATTTTCCGCCATTGATCTCCGATTTCGATTCGCACAGTCCGCGGCAGCGGTGGCATCTTTGATTGCCGAGTGGTACGAGGCGAGAATGCACTTCTCCTCTCTGAAAAACTGGTCTTCGTCTCGTTGGTTGGCAAGACGAAGGGCTTCATCTGCACTCTTAGATACAGACTTGAAGAAATCTGCTGCCTAAAGTGAGGGAATGGACGACAGTGGGACAGGACAACGGAGCGCTTGAAATAGACCAAATACTCACATTGCTATCAGTCCTCCGTAATCATTGGCAGGGAGACAGTTAAACACGAGTGATTTGATGCGACTCCAGTACCATGAGGTCACACAACACATTTCAACGCGATCCTATCGACTTCATGTGACGCAGCCGAGTATGCGTCCCACAGGGTGTTCACGGCGGAGCTGACATATGAAGTTCAGTTTAGGATAGCCCCTTCTATCGAAAAGGAATAAGCCGGAAAACCGGATATATTTTGCCACATGATGGGGAGACCATTCGGTCCTGAGCCAAGCACTCCCAGTATCGCCTTCAAGGAGCACTCATTAATGCACTTCTCCTTGGAACTACTTGAAAGTATGAAAGATGTCACAACACCAATTAGCAGCTCGACCCAGTGCACACGGGACAGAAGCTGGGAGCTTCATTTAACAAACGAGTGATCTAACTTGAAGATAGAGCAACTAAGGTCGACTTCAGTTGGGTGTGCAAAGGAGTTATTACCCAATACACGTACAATGTAATATTTAAGGTCAATAGAGGAATGATGAAAACGTGAAGCATATGCATTACCAAACTTATGAACAGTAAGACAGAGTGAAAGNNNATATATATATATATATATATATATATATAGGCTAGAGGACGCTGGAGGATCGAAAACCTGTTTGCCGAAAATTCGTTCAGCTGAAGCACCCCTTGTGCGCCTAACTGCAGCGCTAACCGAAGCTAACACGAGGGCTGGGTACTGCCAGAAGAGGGAAGTCGAGAGGTTGGGTTCGAACCGCGGGACTTCCGGGTAGGAAATCCGCGCTCTAGTCACTGAGCCACCTAGCCTATTTGCTAACCTATGCAGAAAGCAACACTGGAAAATAGGTACAAACTAATTTGCGAAATTGTCCAAAAGCTCAGGCCAAAGGGTGTGATTAGAGTACACACTATTTACTTCCACATGTCACTGAAGACAGTTGTGTCGCCAGGACGGTCGTGATCGCAATGCAAGACAAACTGCAACCAGATTGAAACGAATCAGAGATTGGACGGCAAGAAATCGCGGCAGTAACCGGTTGCACTTTGTGAGTGTGGAGCAAAAGTTCTATCTGCGTTTTCGTCAGATATGGGGATTCACAGGTGAACGTGTGAACTCTGACACGTTCGTGGAGTCAAAAGGACCAGCAAAAAAGCTCCAAAAAGAGAGGACAATTCCTCATCGATCGTATCTCCCCTATAGACGGGGCAGACTCGAGGATACCACAAAAAACAACCGAATCATGTCATTTATTCAGGCCGGGTCTAAAATGAAGTGTGGATGCAGGGCCTGACCGTCTCCCTTGTTTGGATCGTCGTGCAGCGGTATTCGACCTCGTTCTACGGTATCACTCCGCCTACGCGACGACTGTTTGCGAGTCACCTGTCCGTGCTGTTCACGGGTGTAGTGTCAGGGTCCTTCTTAGTGTAAGTCCACGTGATCTGTCCCATCCATGACTGCACGTTACCGTGGTAACCGCCTCGTTCTTTAGAGGATAACAACAGGGAGGAAATTTAAGTCCGATGCAACACTTCTCGTCAGTACAACACCCACAGAGCAGAACAACGGTAGACGAGATTATTCCCTAATGCATGCTGCAGGGTGCCCATTATCCGCACAATGCTCTCAGCTGCAAAATGTTTACAAATGGAGTGAAACTTTCTACGCCAAAATGTTGCATTTTATTTCGTATGTGCTCAAACCGAAAAGCGTCCTAATCTATGTTCACATTTTTGCAGCTCACCAAATTTGATTGTTCACTGAAGCAACCATGCCTCTGGCTGAAAAGTCCCGTGGGATGGTGTCCCAGCATCGCTGAGACCCCGGGATGCCTAAATTTGAGCTGGTACTCTCAAGTCAATTGTCCGACTGCTTTAGTCCATTACGGAGAGGTCAAAACTTTCGAAAGTTCGATTCCATTGTGCGAATACTGAGTACCACGCTGCAGCGCAGTTCAGGCAGTGGCAGCAAACTTGACGCCAAAATTGCCGCGCGCAAATTGGTTTGAACACCATTGCCAGGCAAAAGCGGCACAGCCGTGAGGTTATTTCCATTGAGTTTTAATACTACTACTCATATTCTCTCGGTCCCCTTGATGACACGGCTTTGAATCATGGGGTCGAGTGATTCCATCCTTGATAAGCGCTGCCCATCAGAAAGAAATAAAGAAGGTCATCTGGGTATTGCTGGCAATCGTATGGAGATTCCCTGCGAGACGGGTCTTCTTTTAATCGTTCATGGATTAAGGTGATGAATAGAAAAGGGGCAGATTTGGTACCATATCACGTACTCCGGGCGAATCACCGAAAAAGCCAGAAAACTATCACCACTGTTCTGTCAACTGAAGCCTCTTTCGAAAGGGGGAAAATTACTCTTGCCCCCAAGATTTAATATCTCCGGAGATGGTATCTACGAGACAAAATGTAGTAGAACGAAACATCGAGATGTACAGAGGGGCACAAACGGAATTGAGAGCCACTGCAACAAACTACGCAGACTGAACACTTTCACGGAAGTTCTACCTGGCGTTGTCGACCTTTTACTCAACGCGGATGAACTATGAAACACAAAATGGACCAAGCAGTGAACAGCGTGGAATCATTCCCAGGCAAACTACCCAGATATGTGGAACACGTAAAAGCCAAAGTTCTGACTTGCGACTCAACATTTGGAACCACTGGTCTCAACCCCTCCCCGCGAAGCTATTCACCGATTGGACATCCCCTGCATCTATTCTCAAACTCGGTGGGGACATTTTCCGTGCTGTGGAGAAATCGTTGCCTCAGTACCACTGTTCTTGAAGATAAACGTTCCGGCCGATTCAACACAGCTCTCACAGTTTGCCGTCACTTATCACTGGAAGGATATGTGAGCAACATCCTCGTTTGCGCTGTGCTGTCTCAATTAATTAATCTCAATTAGTCTCAATTAATTAATCCAATTCACTCAATTTATCAGCTATAGGACCGTGTACCATGGGCACATTGGTTCCAGCTACTGGAGCTTCGATCACCGAAAAGTGTGGAACATAGAACCAAGCCTTGGGGGTGATAGCTTTGATGCACGAGCGCCACTGACTGCGCGAGTGGGCCATTGGTGAGTTGAGTCCTGGAGTTCCCCATCCAGGTAGGCAGCAGTTGTCGACCCGACCAAGTTTATTGATCCGTGCTTTCCTACTTCGCTGTCCGACTGGAGAACCGCTTACGAATTGCTGCCCGCATCTGACGAGAGCAGTGCACTAAAAGTAAGAACCTGAAAACTATATCGTTGAGAAGTAAAAAGTACATACGCTGCACATTTTACTAAAATAAATCTTATTTTCTTGGTAATTTTCTATTCCGGTACCAGGCAATCGATTAAAGAGAAAGTAAAGGTAATTCCGGCGCAGTGGGTGTGAGTAGTTACGGCGCAGTCAGTCACATCAATAAAGCTGACTGATCAAACATTTGCATCTAGTTCAATAGACGCACCACATAGTTACCTTGTACGATCTATCTATTGATCAAGAAACAGATCAGGTGGTAAAAAGTGTTGCCGTAAAGACCGCGTCCAATGCTCCGCACTGTGAAGGTCCATAGAGATCAGTATGACAGCGATGTTTTAGATAACTGATGTCCCACGAGGAAAGAGTGAAATTTCATCATCATCATCATCAAAGACAGCAACATCAGTGTTGCCACCGATGCTTCACTGCCGTACTGAGTGAAATTTAGTACAGTTCGAATGACGGACGTGATTCAACAGAAATCAATCAGCAAAAGAAAAACAGTGAAACTGAGAAGTAGAAATGCGCTAAAAATACCGCCACAGGAAAAAATTTACCACGTGGCGAATCGAGCTTACGTTTCATTCTGGTCGCGAGCTGAACATATCCACAGGCTATCATGAAAGAGAGAAAATTGACAAAGTGGAACCGTCAATGGTGTGACTCACTTTCTCCTTCTTGGTTTTTGTACGAACGCTCAACTCCTGATCGTATTCGAGGAACACTCGAAAGTTGTGATCAAGTCGGAATGTGGGGTGAGTGGCTAGACGCTGGAGGAATACCTCATGCATTGCAACCGTCTTTTTGAAGGTGGCCAGGTATTCACTAAAATACGATAAAAAATGCTATTGATGGCATCTGGTAAGTAAAAGTAGTCGTTCAGCTATAGTTCCCTTTTGATTCACAGCAGCCATGCCGCTCAAAGGAAGTACAAGAGTTGAGATACTGCCAGGTTGCACAGGTCTAAACAAGAGCAGTCAAGATGCCGGGGTTGGGTTCGAACCACGGATGTTCCGGTCACTAGCTCGAGATAGCTCAGTAATTGAGGCTCGGAACTAAAGATTTACCCCTACTGTCATAACTCTTCAGCATGTCAATTCTGCGTCATATGCAAGGCTGAGGAGCAGAGCATGGTCGGATATCACAAGCCCAATGACCGATTGGTGGAGGCCTTGAAGTCGGGCGTTCTTTCTACTGGCAATTTGCGACTACATCATAAACCCATTTTCAGCCCATATGGATTCAACCACACTTCCAAGGTGGCCCCACAACTACCCACATTTGAAATCACTAAGTGTTCTCCCGTTGGGAAGAAGTTAAATCTACTCCTAATGTTTCATAACCTAGCTGTCATGGGTCGCGGACTGGTAGGATAACACCGTGTAGTCTGTCGCGCCGTGATCAGTAACCCCATAACCAAAAGGATGTCGATTGCAATAATGATATCGAGGAATATCTGTTTATCAAACTCGAAGCAAATCAAATCGTTCAGCTGTAGCACCCTTTCGGCGCCTAAATGCCATGCCACCCGAAGGAAGCACGAGGACTGGGCTACTGCCAGATTGCCCAGGCCTAGACAGGGGAAGTCTAGAGGCAGAGGTCGGGTTCGAACCACGGACCTTCCGGTCAGTAAATTCGCACTCTAACCACTTGAGCCATTTCGCCCCTTCATCAAACTCAGAAGTTCAACAATCGCCTACGTGGAATGCCTCAAGGCAAGTGACATAGCGTTGGTATAATCATGTCTAGGGAGAGTCAACCGCGTCCTCCTGATGTTCACATTCATACTGTCACAATCGTGTTCCGTCATCCTGTATTTCCACAACTGGCCATTCGGTATCGCGTACAACTGGACTTGCATTGCTCAGCAAACCAGTTTTGTCAGGTTAATTGATGTAGTTGGTACAGAATGACCTCAGGCAATCTAGGGTTGACCACAAACACACTCTGGCTTCGAATCATCGAGCTCGTGATAGTTCAGGCGCGAACCCCTCCATTGTCTTATCCGTGTTCTTGATCCACACCTTTCATCCACGGGCTGAATCCGGTCGCATACTAGTTGTCTCAGAGTCTGCCCCAGTATGTCTCTATGTCTACTATACGTCTACACTGTCGTTAAAGGTGAACAACCTGTTAACCTCATAGGGGAAACTACTCACAAGGTCGCTGAAAACCGTTCGACTTGTCAGTAGGTTCCTTTATGAAGATATACTGCTATATCTCGAATATCGTGCCAACTGAATCATGAGGCGGCCTGTGTGCAGCACATTCAGCTGGAGGACATCATAAACGAGAAATTCAATTGAGTCTCCCGTGAAAACCAAATTGATTTGCAAATGACTGTATTTCTCGAAAACCTGTTAACCTGTTCGTCGGTTTGGTGCACGTGCCTCACAAACATAAATTCTCCGCTCCACAGCCTGGTTTTCTCAAACAGTAAACCACAAGCACACTGGATGAATGTTTGAGACGTGCGTTTTTTTCAACTGAGGCCTTGGTGTGGATACGAGCTAATCACCTTGTCCGGAGATTTTCTGCGTATTCATGAAAAAAAACTCAGTTTACACTACTCGGCAGTTGTCCGTCTCGTTTGTCTAATTTCAAAGACGCAGTGTAGTTATTCTATTCAGCTCAACCTGATTCGCTCCATAGTTGTGAGATGGACCAATTGGTTAGAGCGCGAATTCACTGACCGAAAAGTCCGTGGTTCGATCCCGAACTCTGCCTCATGAATTTCCCGGTCTGGGCGTGGGCAACCTGGCAGGATCCCGGCCCTCGTGCCTGCTTCGTGTGGCATGGCAGCAATGGCACCGAAAGGGTGCTACAGCTACACAATTTTATTACTGAACGGAACATTTGTGGTTCGAACCCGGACCATGCATCTTAACTGCTCCAGTCTAGGCTTGCATGGCACCTATGCAGCCAGGATGTTGAAGCCGGACAACTAGTGGATTTTCTACTATTCAAACATGAATTTCAGATTTTCCATACAGTTTCATACAGATACAATCGGTAACAAGTACGAAAAATACATGATTTAGCTAGGAAGCAGTGGCTCCTAAAATGACGGGATCTGTAGGTGACCAAAATAGGAATAACCGAGGTGTACAAATCGAACTAGTGAACTACACACGCATCAAAATAGAAGTTATCATCATTTGAACCTTCGGACACTAGCGATCGAGAGCAATGAAGGGAAAAAGGTTAGCATAACAAGCTGATCCTGTGGTGCGGAAGCGAACGCTTGGTGATGAAACCCATGTTCCTTATAGGTGAGTGAACTGAGTCAAGTAATATGGGTACAACGTCGTTCAAACACCCGCAAAAAAGAAGAAAAAGTGAGCAGAATCAGCCTACTGACAGATAGAAATGAACCGACCAATTTCAAAACAACACATAATTAGACGTACAAAACAATATAGGAGAATAACTGGTGTATGGGAACTCACGCCTCCAGCTCAGCTTTCATTTTTTGCAAATCCTCCTTGGGCATCGATCCCTCACTCTCACCAAGTCGTTGAAGTTTCGCCCGTGAAGCATCAAAATCTGGCTTGGGCGGAACTGGGGGGACCTAACCAGAACAGGAATTGAACAAGAGACAGTGTAGACAGCTTGATCAGAATGGGACTAGTTGATATATGTTTGGGCTGGAGAGCAGTAGTAAAAATATAAATGCAATTACTGCACCGCACCCAACGATGAGCGTCATACGCACACTGGTGTGACGAAGAAAATGGACAGTGAAAATTCAATTTCCTCAACGAAACTTAATCATTTATGCTGGGCATCTGCTCTGTATGCAAGGATGAATAACCAAATCAAAATAAGGGACGTGATTAGTTTGGTAGCCAGCAAGCTGAGGGGTCGAATTCAAAGATGTGTACGTGAAGATGTTACACAAGGACGGATCACGGCAACTGCAGTTGCCATAGTTTCCACATCTAATATGGCATCTTCGGACCGATCGGCATTTATCTGCCGGTTGTCATCATCATCATCATCGACATCATGACATCAGTGTTCAACACAGATGCTTCACTGCCGTACAACCATCATTTGCTTGAAAGCCTTATTGTAAGGAAAAGAGTAAGAGTGGACGGGGAAGGGACTTGGTGCTAGCTTGCCACAATCATTCCGAGGTGCCTACACCTCCAGACACTCACTCAGGCAATCTGGATAGAAACTGACAACAAGAACTCCACTGACATCGGTTGGCAGCCATATCTTGTAATGTCTCCAGCAAGTTGTCAAAAGACAGACCGTACGGAATGATCACAACTCGCACCAATTAGGAAAACGAACGACTAACCGGCAACAGACCGAAGGCCGGAATCTCACTCAATTAGAATCAGACGGTTCTTTTAGGTGTTTTCTGGCCTTTCCAGTTGGATGAAATGATTTAGGTCACTCATTTTGGGGGCTTGTTAAGTAGTACTTCTAGGACAGAGGCCTGTATCCGGTCCAATATGTTCGGATAGCGTTTAGTATTTTGCAGGACATATGACCGTCTCATCAGTTGCCGTCCAAAATCCTCCTGGAGGTAAACGATCGATGACGGGTTCCGTTCTTTCATACAAATGGCAAGTTCTTAATATAAAATACAGCAATGTGAGAGACACCAGTCTTCCTGAAGGGTAATGAACTTTCCAGACAACATGAATATTCGCGACAGAGAATAGATTCCTGTAACTGAACGGAGATATTCATCCAAAATGGAAACACGGTCTTCAAGTGCGATTGCAGTCTTCTGGACAACGAGTGACAACGAACCGATGACTGAGACAACCACAAATCTACGACTGAGTTACTCGAGGGGAATCATTAAGCTATCATCATTACCAGGAGATCAGATAATACCCCAGGTTAAACCACAATTCGAGGTTTAGTCGCGTCATAGTCACATGTGGCAAGCAAAAGTAATCATGGCTGGAATCGCGGTGAGGTCAAACTGAGTCGAGAGACATTGATCATGTCTTCGGTTTCTCTGTTGCGATGTATGGCCATATGCATTTAAAGGGATTTACAAACGTCGCTAGAAAGTTCAAGAAGCTACGGAAAAAAAACGGATAAAAACGACGAACTTCGGAAGGACAAGTAAAGCAGCAAAACTAATTGTCCGCCCAAGACAATGCCCGTGAATTTATGACTGCCAGGATTTGATGCATTTCTTTAAGGTAAAGGTTTTCTCTATTTCATTGGTTCCGAATAGTCGCGCAACTGCATGGATATGCTTTTGGACTAAGGCTAAATGGCCGGTTTGTAGAAGCGGTTTGTTCGTCATAATTAGAGGTGAAACTGCACCAACTTACAGAGTCGCAATCGTTCAGCTGTAGTAACCTTTCGGTGCCTAACTGACATGCTACCCGAAGGAAGCCCGATGGCTGAGATACTGCCAGGTTGCCCAAGCCTAGACAGGGGAAATCAAGAGGCACAGGTCGGGTTCGAACCACCGACCTTTCGGTCAGTACATCTGGTCGGAAATCAAGGGCACAGGTCGGGTTCGAACCACCGACCTTTCGGTCAGTACATCTGGTCTCCAAATGCCGAGCCATCTCGCCCCATACTTCAACTTTCAAATATTCCGTTATCGGCAACCGATTCTGCTTTCTTCTGTTCCGTAGTAAGTAGTACTCATTTCCAACTTTGGATGGTAAGAGTTTATTTCAGGTCTTGGGTAAATTCAACTTGTTATGCCGCAATCCGCGGCTGTTGATCAACACAGTCACAAAAAGTTCAAACTGTGCGCAACAACTGAACACAAAAGCAGGACTACCCGGGAGAAACGAGAAACGTTAGTGATGAGTGGCACTCACAATGTGACCTGCGTACGGCTCATGCTCCACCAAGTAGTCATGCAACCACACAAACTCCTCGTGCATCCGTTTGACAGTGAAATCAGTCTGTTTGAACTCCGGAAGTGTGGTCTGTCGGAATGGAAACAACGGAAAGGGTAAGCACCACGAAAAAAGGAATTGTTTCTGCATCGCAAATTAAAAAAGAATAACACCCACAGGGTTAGACGCAAATTCAATAAAAGACTGAGTAGGTTAGGCAGTGTGGCATTCAAAAAGCTTGAGGAAACCAACCCCACTACCTCGGAAGGTGATTTGACGATGAAATAAAATGGTAGGTTGGTAGAGATCCACTACATTGTTAACGTAAAAACAACTCTAGAGGGGACAACGAACAAGACTCTCAACCAAAGTCGCCACATTGACACAGTAGTACGGCGTTCTATTGAATAAGCCGATTCCTAACCTAGGTGATCAGGAGACTGAGTTTGTCACATCACTTCGAGCGATCGACTGACCTGATAGGAGAAATTCTGTGGATGTCAAAGTGAAACCACCTGGCGTAAGTTAGCAGACCATAGAGGTACACAAAACGCTACATCACGATTAGGTTCAGTCCCTCTGAGGAGGTGGAAGAATTTATGTGAGGATCGTAACTCACACACACACACACACACTCTAGAACGAGTCGTCAGATAGAGAACACAAGGAAGGACGTAATCGTTGCGCCCAGGGTTTCCGACAAAATCCCATCAGATAAGGTACATTTCATGCTCGCAACTCTGACGTCAAATGGGACTATTTATAAGACTTAGATATTAGTAACACCTGCTGATGGCCCCTGGAAAAACGTGAGCAGGTACGCAAATGAGATAAGAGAACCGATATTTCAAAGGAGATGACGCCGCGCCGATTCAGTTTTTAAGTCAGCTCATAGTGACCAGATGGCGAAAGCTCAGCCATAGGAACATTCATTCTAAGCTAGCGTTCTCGTCAAAATAGCCACCAAAGGTGCGCAACGTGTATTAACGGCTAAAACCAGGTCAACGCCTCGTATATGGAGTGTGTGGAGACAACATTCTGGCGCCTTCTGGATGCTGCATCGGCAACCGGTATTCGGTGGACACCGGATAATCATTGGCCGTTGGGTTCGCACTATCGGCCAATGAGAGCTCGCCTTGATGCTGGACCAGCAAGCGCCTCGATCTTTTGGCTAATGGAATGCGCGACAAGCGTCTGGGCCGTAGCAGCGCCTTATTGCGAGCGGTGAAGCGGTTTTGGTGCGGAATTCTGCCTAGTACATGATCTATCAACAAGATAAACCATCAGATTCTAATAAGACGGAACACAATTGTATCGGTCCTCTGACACGAAAACACCACAGATTTTACATACAAAAATGTGTCTTGGCCGCTGATATGTACGGTAAGCAGAGAATCTGAGCACTGGAACGCCGAAGAAGAGATACCCTATGAGGACTCACTTCAATTTTTTCCTTGACCTGTACCATAAATCATGATGGCAAAGGCTTGCAGGGATAGAACGCATTTGAAAGCCCATAAACAGTACCAGGTATGAGATCTTTCGTGTTTCTAGCTTGAAAGAGAATTTCCGAAACTCGGTACTGAACTTTGCCGTATCAATTAGTAAAAAGGAAGCAAGGGGTCATCTTTTCACTATTTGGTGCAACTGTACATTGGTATCACTCGTCAAAACATGGCTGTTGATGAACAACCTAGTGACTGGACTGTAAAATGGGGAATACCAAGTTATCAGGTGACTTGTACTCCAGAACTGGTGTAAACATGATAATAATTGTCCACTAGGGGCACCCTTTCTGTGCATAGGTGCTGCGCAACTCAACGGGGACACGAAAACTAAGATTCCATAATGATGATCTCGTCCCACAAGTGAAGTGTCTTTATGCTGAAAAGCCGGGAAACACTGTACTTTTTAAACTCTATGGGGAATCATCAATCCTCCGCACTTCACGAACGTCCGAGGAGTTTTGAATACACAACCTCCCGGCTAGTACTGTGAACACTTAACCGTTCTGTTACCAGTGGCTAATCAGCATCGTGATCAACTCGCAGTCAGAGAGGACACAGCGCCACTCATCTATATCTATCAAGTTGTCATGTGAGCTGACTATCTTTTCATGCGGCGGTTTCTCGGATGGAAGTTTCACGCATCGGGTGAATTGTACTCCTCGTGAGCTACTCATAGATCATTGGCTCCCATCTAATGACTAATGTGTCCCTATCCAAAAAAAATTCTCCCAGCTATTCGTCACATGAACTTTTGTTGATGTCAGATAACGGACTCTATGTCAATAGAGATCAGCTCTATTCCGCTTCTAGTGATGTGATAATCTATGGTCCTTCTACACACTGAGTGACATGGGGAAGACGTTGGCTGCAGATGAGCTGCCGGAATACGAATTCCGTGTGTCACCAAAGGGAGATGAACAGGTCGTCACACTAGTTGCCACTACTACTTAGAGTCATTGCCAGTTTGAGTGTTAATCGAACGAGCATCAACGATTGTACGTTCCACATTGACGTACCGGATTAACAAACTGAAGCCTACCGCGGCAGCTGAACGGGGACTAGAGGAATTCCCGCTGCATTTCAATCGGAGCTATCATGTGCGTAATCAGCTATGATCATCAAGCCACTGGCTCATGATGTGTGAGTTCCCCTACAGTTGGAACATACTATACACTTACGCAATGCTGTGGACTCATCCGAAATAAACACAGTTGTGAGGTGAAACAACAGCTAAGTCTGGCTAGCTTACTGACATTTCCGAACTAGTGTACTACCAAGCAGAGAGACGGAGGCCCGTTTGATCTACAGTCAATTTGTAACCCGGCATCAACTTGCGAGTAAGCGACCCGTTTTACAACCCTAAACGGATACGTCTAAACATATATTGCGAAGCAGGATTGTATGTCACTTCTGTGGCAGTTTGTGTGACTGGCGACGGGGTACCATCGTTGCTGTGCTTTCGTCTATGAACCAAGTCTAACGACAATCGAGGAGCTCAGAGAACGGCAAATTAGCTAGTTTGGGATGACTAACACATTAGTGTGAGAACACAGCTACTGTCCGAAGGCAAGCTGCTCTAAATAATCGAACACACGTCACGAGCTGGCTACGGACCATACGAAGTTATGCGCTGATTGGTCAGAATAGGGGCCAATCAGAACCGAACATTTTTAGCACAGCGCTTCTCGCATGTTCACGGGGATTTTAGCGTGACATTGCGGAACCTAAGAAATAGAGTTTTAATAATTTCCCGTTTGTCACCATGAAGGACTGTTTTGAGCTCTCGTGCCTTTCGATGTACCATAGTGGACAGAACAGGAAACCAAGCGCCAACATGGAAGTTGGACCACCGGCTACCAATCACAACAGGTACCGGAATGGTGAATTAACTTTTAAAAAATCGACTTCGGCGTTCTGGTGTTAAGAGACCGACGTAAGCATTATTTGCCTGCCCAGGTAAAGCAGGCACTGGATCTTGTACTGTATACAGTCAAGCACGTCACTTCATATACATAACCGTAACTGGGGAGGTGTACGTTGGATGGATCTTATCTAACTGGATGAACTGGCGACCCAGAGTTGAGTGGATAGTAAGATCCGAATGAAGAGGGTCCATTTCGAACCGACGCTCCAAAAAAAACGAACGAGGGGAATAGAGTTGAAAACAACTGAAAATCCCGTTCAATGTGTCTGGAAACTCTGTTTCAGCTCCGTAACTTGTCCATGCGGTTCTTCAGTCACTAATTTCAAGCGCTGGGCCACGTCAATAAAACATTAGTTGGTACAGTGTGGCCAACAAAGCCGGTGCGCGGAATACAAGCGAAACCATACCGTCGTAGTTCATCTACCTACCCAAATATGGACAAGCCTTAGTGTAGGAGGAGGTAAGCTTTACAAATGATCGGTAGAACTGGTAGAGGTCTTATTCGAAAATAGTTGAGTGATTGAACGCAGCAAAACCGGGTGATCCCACGGAAACAAGTGAAAGAGGTGAGTTAAACTCCAAAACATATTCCAACTGAAGTTTGTTAACACCCCGTACAAATTTACCAGTCACTTACAAATGTGGCCAAGATGCGCTTCGGTTGTCGGAAAAAGAAGTATTGTTAGTTTTAAAAAAGGGTTTGGCAAATAATCGGTGGATCTGTAGATCACACTGATACTCATTGAAGATGAGTGACAGTCAGCCTACACGATTTAGACAATATATGTAGGAGATTTGGGGACAAAGTGGTTTGGTAATTATACACTGATACGTCCACATGTGCGCACCTTGACAAAGGAAACAAATATGCCTGATAACAGCGGTCAGAACAACGACCACTAGCCAGTTTGAATAACCACGAAAATTTGAAGTACAAAAACAGATACTGTCGGCACTTTTAACAAGGATCTTGCGCGGTTGCGGCAGTCAGACAGTGGTATGGTCCAAGGCGACGGTTACCATGGTTGGTATCAATAAAGCGACGTCCATATTCACATAATACAGACAACGGGGGTGGTATTTGGACAGCTGTCCTGTGTGGACTCGTGTTTTCCAAAGGAAGCTACGTTAGTTAGCTATGTTTTGGCAGAAGAGGGGTACTTAACGCGATCGATGGTCTCGTTGTTGTCCTTAACTTGCAGGACGAGGAACAGAAAAATGCTGACGATATTTGACACAAGTGTGCTGCAGTCACGTGAGTAGTGAGCACATAGCGAAGACCGTGAATGCTGGTAAAAGCGATGGATGGTTCGAATCACGGACCTTCTGGTCAGTAAATTTGCGCTCTAAGCACTGAGCCATCTCGTGATGGACAGAGTGTACATGAATTCGGGGGATCCCTGGCCTTCAGAAACCGAACGTGAGGAGTAAACACTCAGGCCCTGACGACAGCCCAGAGAGATGCTAATATAGGCTCCAATATGGCCAAAGCTGTGCGCCGATCATATGATCAGGCGTCTCGAGACCTGCACATAGTCTGCCCACCTGCGTGCGTCATGACCCCAAGTGGTGTGACAACACACGTTTAGTACAAAACACGCGTGGCGTGTTGAAAACAACATCCGCCTAACAAACAGTGTAACCTACATCGGTCGAAC